ACGCCTCGATGGATGCCCCCATTTCCTTTTGTTTAGATTTCATATTTTTGACATCTTGGGCCATTTGATTAAACAGATGGATTAAGGTGGTCAGTTTATCATCGAGCGTTTGGAAATTGATTGTTGTATCCTCTGCGTTATCTGTATCCTCGGTACCGCTATTTGAGCGCGTTGACGGTTTCATGATATTTACGTATAGAAATCGGCTTCGTACGTGAATTAATAGGCGCAAATTTTGGAAATCCCGAATTGTATAACAAAAAAGAAAGTCACTTACTTTGTATATGATATTTGTACTTGGTAGGCGTAGTTTACTGTCACCAGTAAGTAACATGCACTTGATTTCCGCACAAATCAGACGACACTTACGGAGCCAACTCTAACACGTCTACTCACTTCGCATGCCAATGCAGAAAATGTTTGAAATAAGAAATAAAGTGAAAATTATATCGAGTTATTGCTGCGGGAAGGAATCTATCTAAAGAATAATAGGTAGTTGTGTAGTTATTATGGCGAATTTCCTTTTTAACTAGATCTCTTAGCGATATTATTATTCTGTTTATGTATAGTCTGGATGCGAATTAATATGTTATTGGAAGTGTAATTTTTTAGTTTGTTGCGTATCTTATTATCACCAATCCTACAGTATAGAGAACTTGTCTCGCCGTGCATATTTACAGACATCCTAAAATAAAGAGAAAGCAATTATACCAGCGGTTGTCTTGTTTGGGTTTAGACCGTTAGATAAACAAAGCTTGTTACCCAAATGTATGCGTTTAACTGAATTCAAGAATGAAATGTGCTGAAGATAATAAAGTCTTATTTACAAGAATCGTGCCGCACGCATATAACAGCACTCAAACTACGATTTCTTTATAAATCCTTGCACTGCACTATTAACAACAATAAATGATATAAACATGAAATAATAGTGGACGCTTGCCTACAAAGAACACGAATCGTTCTAAACAAAGCCATACAGACAGTTTTCAATGCATACAGTCTCGAAAATTTAAGATAGGGCTCTTCACGTGTTAACAAGGTTAATTTCTTAACCTCACATCAGATCAGTTAAATAGCAACATAGTAATTGCCGGTTACTTCAACTGCACGTTGGACCTCCTGCGTGATCTTCACCGAGAGACACCCGGTTCTGTCAAGCAGTTTATTTTAGCAGATTGTTGGGGATTAGCCAACAATGATAAAGGTGGATATACGGACTTTACGCGTAGTATCCAAATATCAGCCTCGAGAATAGATGGTATCTATTGCTCAAACGATTTAATTAGGGCGGTTCGATCAGAAAAACTACACAACACCTTTTCTGTTACCTTGCGGCTTCAGTAGCCTTCAAGACATCAGTGTCTCGATTTGATATATATATATATATATATATATATATTCTGAACTCTATTCCACCAGTAAAGTATTGGAAGCACCCAACGCCTTACGTCGAGAAATCCATCCACGTAGCCAAAACTTGCGTTTTCTTCTTTCTTTCTGTTTCTTCTTCTCTCTTTGTTCTTCAAGCAATTCTTGAATAACTAATTTACTAACTATTTCGACGCCGATACGTAAAATATCTGTTCTGCTCAACATTTTCGAAGAAAATGACCTAATCTCTTACGATTTCAGTCAACTGTGTAAATGGGCTGGCGATGCGGCTTTGTGAGGCGATTAATCGCACGGAAAAAATTGCTCCGTGTAAATACCCAATAATTTGCCAAGCTATTTGGGTTTAAAAAGATGCACTTTATCTGCACAAGAGTTGTGCACAATTTATACTTGTTTGGTATTTCTTTAGCAGTTTCATGCGAACCCATTTACCAATCTCGGACAACACATTGCTGATTGCCCTTCCTCCTATTTTCGTTTGTCGCAATAATTTCTAAGATGGCATGGATATTTTTCATAAAATCGTTAGGAAAGGCAGCAAACTTTCCAGGCAGGGTATGGCGATATTTGTGCCCTGTGCTGTTTACGGCCCTGTCCCCGAGGTTAGCAGAACCATGGTACTTTCTGCTCTATTCAATTAAATTAGAAATTAATTTCTTAAAAAATACTTACAACACCCTAAAAGTGTGAGATTTTCATACCACAATACTCCCGGTTCTAATGAACAGCGAACTATCTAAATATTTCCAAAATTATGAAAGAAATTAATGCAATGAGTCACTGTAATTAGGGATATGTCACGGGGTTCGTTGCTAATTGGAGATATCAATTTCGCACCTTTTACGATTTATAGCACAATAACAGCTAATTTGTGATTTATTGCGGCGCCGATTCCTAAATGTGATTATTAAGTTCAGAATTAAGCCGGATAATGCAACTGTTATAATTTTGATTGATTAAATCCATGCGTATTTCACCGCGACAAAACAATTTCGGGAGATGAACGAGCAACAAGTTCTTCCTGAACACTAGCGGATTCGGTTAATAAAATGTACGCACCCTCTCACTTTTGACTTTGTTAAATTTTTAGTCGTACTTGTAATGGAATGAAAATGTGGACGGGAAAATTACCAATTCGCGGCCGCTTTGCCGAGAAAGGGATGGTAGTGAAAAGGTTTCTTTGAGAGTTTAAAAACGGGTCGGCTTTCTTGTACTGTTAACCTTCTTAATTTGATGGAATGATTCGAACTGGCAGCGTCCTACGAGCAGGTTTTGTTAATGCCTGCATTGGTCACGATAACTATTCTAGGAAAACAAGGAGGAAACAAGTCATCAAGTCAGAGAATTGGTTTAGGGTTTGCTAGAAGTTGTTAAACTTAGCAGGAGTTTGAATTGGAGAGATGTGTTTATAGTTCGACTAGTCCGACAGAGGCGTTGATGGCTAAAATTGTTGGCGCCATTGGAAAACTTTCATCGTTTTTACACGTTAATGCACCATTGGAGTTTGTCTTATTGTTTTGTTTTCTAAATTGTGTTTGCATTTCTCTGTTTCATTTACATAAACCGTTTGATATTCGACCTTAAAGTTTTTAGTGTCCCTATAAACATATTATGCGGCAATATTTGCGGGATGAAAAACGAAAGATATGGACGATCAGTACTAAGTACGCGACGCGAAATTTGTTTTACGGCTAAACTGCTGTATAATTTATAACTGATATCTAAATTTAAATGTGCGTTGAAATGAATATATCTGTTATAAAATCTACAATCATCTATAATTTCTCTTGGGAGTTTCCACACGGACCCCATCTCTCTGGCTTTTGTGGTGCTCATTTTAGGATATAATTGCCTGAATCTAATCGCTCCTTTTTAATTGCTGTATCTGTTCAGCACACTCTACGTTCGTAACATTAAAATAACCTCCGAAGAAATGTGGTACGCGTTTATGAAATTGGATTAAGCGATCAATTTTGGAAAACTTTATCATACTGACAGGGCGTAAAAATGCTGGTTCAAAATGTAGCTGAAAAGCGGTGAGATACGGGCAAAGTTCCTCATCTATCATGCGAGGAAGTCCTTGTTTCGCATACGAAAATTACTACATACTTTATTTTATTGCTCGAACACTATTCTAAGCCTTGAAGCTGTACAACTCACACGAATTTGGGTAATCTTTCAAATCGGCGAATTTGAGAAATTTAATCGAAATTATTCGTACTGCGGCATGTTGAAATGAAGATCATTTATTGCATTTAAACCAATTTGAGATGAGAGATATAGGTCGATTGCTTGCGTACGTTCGTTCGAATACATTTAATTATGGTAACCGGTAGTGGTTGGCTTTTGCATTCTCTTCCTAGCAGGAACATTGATAAGATAATATCGGTTAATGTTAACTGGCAATAAATTACATCTTATTTATTTGTTTTAATGGAATTAGCCTTACTGCAACGCGTGACACTAATATAATTTTGTATCTTGCAGCGGTTTCAAAAAATATATCTTTTCTCTAATTCTAATAATTTTGCCTAATTTCAGTATTGGTTTCTAAAATCCAGTGGCTGTTTCTGTATTTCTTGGCCCTGTCTTGAAATTTAATTTGTTTTTTCGCTTTGATTGATTTATTTTTTTCACTTTGCATGACGAAACATTGTCAATGTCAGTGTCAACGTTACTACTACTTGTCTTTTTGCTTTTTTGTCCACTCATTTTAGTACAGTTTTCTTGTCCACTTGTTACCTCTCTAAGCTGTCGGGAATTGCGGCGAGGTAACTTAGGTTCCGCGGCTAACTCTCGCGCGGGCGTGGTAGTTCTTCAGAACGAACTCTAAATGAATGCTCGGGAGGCGCCAGGTCCTTATCCCTAGTGACTCTCCTGCCGGACCTACAGGAAGGGTATTGCCGCAATAGAAAAAGGAAAGAAACAAAATGTGCGCCACTAATGAATATTTAATGTCAAATAAAACTAATTAAATTGTTCTCCTACTCTCACAACTAAATGAACAAGCCTAAGGTGACTCGAAGCGGCTTTAAATTTCGCGGTGACTACAGGGACTTCTCCAAGAACCCCCTTGCCGACTAATCCGCAATACCTTTTGGTAATAATGACCACTGATTAGGTCGGCCGAACCCTTGTAGGAAGCACTTTCTACCGGTCGCACCCTGTATAATATAAATTAAGTGACAGTAGTTCGGATAGGCTGTAATTTGGAACTACAGTAGGTAATTGAGTCGGGAGAAACAACCCCGATGTTAGAATATGGGCAACAATAAACTAATCGGGCTATGCGATTATGCCAGCGTTAAGGTGTTTTCGTTCTTTGTGATTCTCAGAGCGTCTTTGTGCGTCAGCAATAGCTGGGTTGACGGTACGACGAATCACCTTTACATACAAGTAAGTGACAACAACATTTATTACACAAATAGTGGCTCTGACTCCCAAACTTTTATATTTTATAATACTACCAACTACACAATTCATCGGCAGTGGCTCGTACCACCGAATGACTATTTCCAACTGCCCGCCTGTATCTACAAGTATGCCTCCAACTGGCTAGACGACTTCCCAATGGACGACACACATAGGTTACATGAAGACATACCAACCAAGTCGTTGAGGGCTTCAATAACTGGCTACCTAACTTAAGCGTGGACTGCGAAGATGTTGACGATGTCTAAGTAACTTCCGATATCAGGGACGCTATATGCTACGGGTACGGAATGACTAACAGGTGACACGAACTTCAACCACTTTGTTTTTCCTAGGTCTCGGACAACGTACCTCTCACTAAAAGCTATAAACTACTCATAGAATGACACAAACGACGTTGGACAACTACATACCCAGTTCGGATTTAAAAGTAAGCGGCCTTTAAATCCCCAATACTGGGTAAAATTAATCAATGAATGCCTAACTGGCTCAATATCACAAAAATCAATTAATTTATGAATGCTTGTGCAACTAAAGATCGGTTAACGAATTTCTTTCAAAATTTGTATAGTTTGCACAGCAATGGCCGTTCATAATCTGCCTTTTACAACGGTCTCCCTTTTTTAAAAGATAATCTAACTGGAATGTGACCTATGACATCCTATATGATAGCTAGTGACGAAAATATCCTAAGAATATGCAACACATCGTTCACATCATATATAGTATGACCCATTAGTAACTTAGGGTGAATTTAACATGTAACAACTGAATTGATTTATCAGGTTTTCCACTGCATTTATGATGTCTTGTGTATTTTGTTTTTATGAACTTGTTTAATTGCATTTGATTTGATTATCTGATTTTTATCATACCATTTGAGACGTTTTATTTATGTGTATTTTCTCTTGCATTTTATTGCTGTAGGTGATTTATTTCATGTATTTTTGTGGCCTATGCCGGGGTTTTTGTCCCGTAGAAGGTTTCCCTGGCATGGTCTTGTGCGCGTAACATATTTATTTGTTCTTGTCATTTCTTACGCACAAAAGTTCTGTCTTTTATTTAATTCCCTTCCCGATTATGTCTCACGTCCCAACACATAAAAGAACCGATTACACAACGTAGGAGTCCATACCCATATCGAGCCGACTGTCATCCAAATTCAAAAGTGCCGCGAGACTACCATCGTTTCGACTTGAAAGGTAGGTGGCTCTGCTTGTAGTTTTTGCCAGAGTTGCCAACCGTAAGTATAGGGTAAGTCAACGTTTTCCGTGTCGGCACCCCCTAGGAACATTACACGCGTTAGCACGATTTACCGTAAGAAATAAGATTTGGGCATTTCCTACGTACCGTAACCGTTCTAACGCAACGTTAACGCGAGGGTTTAATTCCAAACGTTACGGTACGGCGTTGCGGGTACGGAACTATAAATTCAGCTTAACATGTGTAATGTTCCTAGGGGGGTCTATCAAGCCGACACGGAAGACGTTGACTTACCCTATACTTACGGTTGGCAACTCTGGCAAAAACTACAAGCAGAGCCACCTACCTTTCAAGACGAAACGATGGTAGTCTCGCGGCACTTTTGAATTTGGATGACAATCGGCTCGATATGGGTGGCACGAATGGACTGCTACGTTGTGTAATCGGTTCTTTTATGTGTTGGGACGTGAGACATAATCGGGAAGGGAATTAAATAAAAGACAGAACTTTTGTGCGTAAGAAATGACAAGATCAAATAAATATATTAACGCACACACAAGACCATGCCAGGGAAACCTTCTACGGGACTAAAACCCTGGCACAGGCCACACAAATACATAAAATAAATCACCTACAGCAATAAAATGCAAGAGAAAATACACATAAATAAAACATCTCAAATGGTATGATAAAAATCAGATAATCAAATCAAATGCAATTAAACAAGTTCATAAAAACAAAATACACAAGACATCATAAATGCAGTGGAAAACATGATAAATCAATTCAGTACAAAAACACATCAAGATACCTGTACGATCAATAGAGATAACACAACTCGTCAAATAAACAAATTGCATGTACATAGGAAACATGTAAATGGTATGGCTCTACTCCATCCTTCAGTTAACATAATTTAATTTACCACGAAAAGTACATGTGAGAATGCCATTGGTCAATAGCTAGTATTCATGTGAAAATCGATTATCGCTCAAACAGAACATATTTTAAATAGAGGAAATGTAAATGAGAGGATCCCCCTTTTCTCGCTAATGCGAGACGCTAAGAACTGCAGCCTGCGCGAGACGAGTAAGCAACAGATACAGCGAACGATCTAACTGCATTAGGTACCTACTCCACGGAGACAGAAATATCCACTCGCACACACAAACATCAAAACATCAAATAAAAGAGCCCCCCCCTTCGTATAGCTAACGCACAAGAACTGTAGCGAGCCACGAAACAGAAAGTAACAGATACAGCGAACAATCAAACTGTATTAGGTGCTTCCCTCACGGAATTGTTACGGGTCAATCGAACATAGCAACATCACACCGATAATCAACTCCTCATGAATAACAGAAGTAAATTACTTAATTAAACAAAATAATGGCATAATCATCTGTACAGTATTACAAACAGGATTCATCTAACGGTACACGAAACAAAGGCATGGAGTACGCCATGATTCAAATATCGTAGTTTATGCAAAATCAGCAAAATGTAAATATCACATTGTGGCAAGAAATTCAATGATTAAATATCTAGTACAAGAAAGAATAAAATGGTTACTACCTGTAAATACATCTTCAAAACACCACCACCAAAAATAATCAAGAATAAAAAAAAAAACCGGGAAAGCATGTGTCTTCCGTCGACCTCGTCGCCATCTTCTTCCCATTCCCCTCGCTTCGTTACCAAAATCCCCTAGTAGGTATTCGGCATCTGCGCAAAACCGTCCTTGGTTATATACAGAGCATATTATATTTTTGTTTCGGATGTAAATGTGTGTTGCCTAACCATCAGGGTGGGTTATCACACATGGCTACCCATTTGAATATTCTCGCTTAAGTTTCCCGCGAGAATCTGTCACTCGGGGGCCACTCCGAGTGCACTAAGATCGTGATCGTCATGTAGGACACCTACGTTGTGTAATAACTGGGTTCTAAGCAGGCACTGAGGGCGTTTTATGGGTAAGGAACACCAAAAGCAATAGCTGATTAAGATTATATTGAAGCTAATACCAATACCAATACCGCGCCCCTGTAGAGGTTCTTAAGTGGTTCTATACTACTCCGGTATTTACCTTACGAATTAGGAAAACTGCAGGAAAACCTAATTCGGAGTAGTAATGAACACAACCTACAGCTAACATCTAATGTACATCACTTTTGAGCCCTCTCGAGACCGGGTTAAATACTACATACACGCTATGAGTAACCAAAGTGGAATTGAGTCATTCCCCTGGTATTACAACACATACATCAGACAAAACTAAGATATATTAAATATGCCTCGCCGAACGGTAGGATTACCCAGGCCCAGTGGGGTGCCTGTAGACGTGGGCCATTTCAAATTCAATGAAATAATCGAGAGTGAATAAAAAGTACAATATACAAATATGTACAGAACAGATACAGCCCTACCGACAATGAAACAGGATTGCCAATACGAACAAAGGTTACACATCAAGAGGTACCTACAAGTGATTGAATCCATAAGTACATAAGTAAAGGGTTACAATCTGCATTTAAGTTACACACATTTATAGATTAAATTGAATAAAGCAAATACCTCACCTGCAAAAGCACACAGCAATGATTAAGGTACATATAACAAAATATTTCAAGATAAGCCGTACTTTACACTTCAGCCGGTTACAAGAAAAAAGACCATGAACACACATGTTAAATCGTATTTACTGACTACCCCAAGCCACGCTGTAATTTCATCTAAGACTCCTAAAAACCGCCCATTCCCTGCGTTTCACGCATTTCTAGGAAAAAAACTGGACTGCAAATGTTTGAAATGGTAAACACGTGGTCTTCCGAGAAATTCCATCCGTTTCATCTTCGCTCTCTTTCCCTTTTCTGTAATCCCACCAGATTTCGGTTGGCAGCTTGTGTAACTAACATGATGTATAGGGTGCTTCGTATCGACAATCATATTCACAGGACGTTGCTAAGGTTGGGGCATCTCAGATAACAGCGAGGTTTCGCTGCAGAAATAAGGAGAGAGAGAGAGGAGTAGACTGGAAAAAAAGGAAATGCAGAATTTATGAAGAGATAGAGTAATATATAGAGTACATGGTATGGAAATGCAAATTGGTGGAAAGAGCAAGGACAAGCAGGAGTGCGGGAAGAGGAGGGAAAGGGAGAGAAATGGATAAGGGAAGAAATACATAAATTTTAGTTTTTTTGTATAAAGTTTCTGCCAAATGGCGTGTGAAATAAAAAGCAGTGAAGGATGCGTAAAGAAAGAAGCATTGAAGTAATAGGTAAGACTTTCGTCAGTTGGCCCGGGGTGCGAAATGCGAGATCACATTTCGGCAGTTGGTCCGGGATTAGTGCTGTGCAAAAAAAAACGATTAATCGATAACTTATCGATAATTATCGATTAATAGATAGTGGATTAATTTAAAGAAATGGTCGACTAATCGAGAATTTATCGAAAATTATTGAATTAATGTATCGATTAATTGTGATTTTAAAGGATTGGTCGATAAATCGATAATCTACCTATTAATCTTACATCGATTTATCGCAAAAGCGATCAAGTAAGAGCATTCCGGAATTCGCATGACACTTATAAAATATGATCACAATTCAGAACCTACTTTAGGCTGGTTGACGTGAATTAGATACTATTATGCTTAATTACCATTTATCGTTTCTGTTAAAACTAATAATTTTGAGGTTATTGAAGGACATAGGCACCAAATTTTTGAGGATTATTGTCTAGTTTTAGTTGATCACCTTTGATTTCAGAAAACTAGGGAATACCTATATATAGTTGTTTTAATATTTTTCAAAGCATCCTGTTTTGATTTAAATTATCAATATCAATACCAAATAACGAAAATTGTTAACGAGTGTATGCATTGAGAATATATTTATATCGATAGGATTTATGAAAAAGTATCCAGTTTTCTCTCGATAATTATCGCTATTCGATTAATCAATAACAATCAGAGATCGACAATTTTCGACAGATGTCAATAATAATCTATTATTATCGACAATTAACGATTATTATTATCATCATCATCAACATCAAATCAAAATTTAACCTAGTCATTTCATCGCGGTTTTATCGGAAGGTTCTAAGGAAAGTATTTTTTTAAATTTTTAATTATTATTTTTTATTTTTATTTTATTTTTTATATTGTAGTTTGTTTAATTTTTTAATGTAAATAACAGTCGGAATAGTTCCAAGGTTAAGTGGAAGAACAGACGGCGGTAGTCTCCGCCGAACTGAACTTCGCCTTGTAGAAGTATATTTTATTTCTGTTTTGTTTTTGGGGATAAATAAAGGCAATATTATTATTATTATTATCAAAAGTTATCGATAATTATGAAAAGTTATCAATAATTATCGATAATAATCGAGAATTATCGATTTATCGATAAGTTTGTTTAGTCCGATAATTATTGATTAATCGTTAATCGATAACTTTCGATAATTATCGATAATAATCGATAATTATCGATAACTTTCGATCCATCGTTATCGATTAATGATTAATCTATAATTATCGGACTAAACAAACTTATCGATAAATTGATAACAAT